TCCCACACGTTTTAATCCTTACCTAATATCTGTTTTCATTGTGAAATCATAGAATTGCATCATGAAGTCTGACAGAGAACAAAGATTATTTTTCAAGTGTTTAATTGTGTCCATGTAAATGTCGTTTTTTTCTGGTCCAAGTACACGTTTGTTTTTGCTTTTGATTTTTTGTTGTTTTGTAAAAGAATCTGTGCTATTGTTAGACGTATTATCGCCATCAAAAATATATATTTATTTTTTTTAATTAAGATCTGTGTACGCATCAATTTTACTATAAACGGGCTGATGTATTTGTCAACAGATCGATTGTTTGTTTGTAACGTTCCTATCATTTTACAGTAATTTACTGTCATTTCCATATGAACAATGATTCTTAATTTTTCTTCCTGCGTCGGACGCCATTTTGAAGAAGAAAAAAAACTCTTGAATGTTTTCGACTTTAAGTCTTATCACTATTATTATTGTTTTGTTTTTTCTCTCCTTTTTTTTTCTAGATGTTCGCTTACCGAGTTATATAAACAGTGAGTAACTCTAATATCATTTACGTCTTGCTTTTTTGTGCGTCCGTTTTAGAAGCCTTTGGTTTTAATATAGTTATTATTTTTTTATTTTCGAATTTATGATCATTTTTTTTATTTCGTTTTATTTGTTGTCCTTATTTAAATTTTATTATTATTATTTGTACTCGTTTCGTTTTCGCACCAGTTGGTAATTTTGATTTGAACAGAAATTAAATGATTTTAAAACGCGTCAATAATCCAGGACTTTCCTCAGTATTCCATCTAATTATAGTGTCACTACCATTTTATCGTTTTCATGCTTTCGCAGAGTTCCAATTATTATAATCTGTTTTGAAAAGTTCTTAAGGTTGTTTCAAGCATGCTGATAATGATGTTTATATCTTTCCCTACCATGTTGTGTGTGTAAAATAGTTAAAATGTTAAAAATATATCGTATTTCAGAAACATATTAGACAGGTTTAGATGACGGTCAGAAGTTGCGCATAAAAAAAGGCAATAGGAGGTGGAGGTTCGTTTCCATTGGCCAATCAATTGACGAATCAGCAATTATCAACGAGGCAAGATTAGTTGGTAATAAAGAATCAAAAATTCTTCATTGAGAATTTTCGTCTCGAAAGAAACACGAGGGTCTGCAACTACTAATTTCGAGAAGCTTCTCTCACTCACTTCCTCCTCTCCATCACTAACAAGTAATTGGCATAATTTCCCCACGGGGGACAACAAAAGTAGACAATTGATTTTGTTTAGAGGCATATCAAACTCTGAGTGTTAATGCCAAAATTTAAATATTTTGAAAATAATTTTATGGCTTCAACCAAATATATTTTGAAAGTAATTATAAGCCTTCAACTACAGATAAAATGTATTCGTGGCCATTTTTGCTATAATGTGGTATTGTTGGTCATTTTAATATAAATAGGTAGTGTTGGTATTTTTACTATGAAAATGAATTTTTATACTTTCATAGTGTTATGTTTTGGTTTGGGGTTTCTCTATTTGCCGATAATTTGGTCCTTAACTTGTGCTACGACACGAAGTTAGAGTGGACCTAAGAACAACCATAATTAAGAGATGGTTCCACGCTTCTCAAAACCTTCAATTTCCCGATCAGAGGCATTGCTGCCAGATGTACTTTATCGTCATACCGAGGACTATATTTATTTGGCAATATACTGCAGTCGCTTAATCTATATAATTTATGCATTTTCGATTTACCTTTGTCTTGTCTATATTAGGTTTTATATTAAAATAGTTCAAGAACGCCGTTATTTAGAATCCAGTTTCTCACCTGCAATTTCCTCAGGGATATCTCGTCTAGTTAAGAAATAGACCAGCTAGCCTAGACATGGGCAGTGAAAGGAGAACCATCTTAACCCCGTAGATTGAATAAAGTGTTCAGTTCGTTATTCCCTGCAGATTACACGGATCAATATATATATATATGAAGGCCGGAGGGCACAACGGCCGAAATTTGTGATAACAACACAGAGATGAGGACAATAGTCCGAATGTAAATAGTGTCAATAATGATAAATCCTCATTCTAGAAATTCAGACGGAAGTTACGTATTTATTATCTTACAGAGATCCCCAGTTGCAGCGTTGAAAGCCTGTGACGTCTATGTCGCTATTTCCATGGCAAATGTTCAGATGAACTCTATTTTTTAGTTCCATCAGTTCAGCTTGGTACAGCTAGAACCCGCGATTCTACTTCCACGAAGTTGAATCAGCCTCATTTCCCCCTGGTTTCAAATGTATGTAGAAAGTTCTGATCAGAGAGCTTTTCATTACCCCCCGCTCCAACAGATCAAAAAATTAGTTTTTGGGGCACTCATTTGTATACTACAATCTTAACGTCTTCATGTCAAAGGTCAATCGTTATCTATCCTATTTATGTGCTTTGCTTCTTATTACAGAACCCATTCACAATTACCATTTACCGGTAACCCATGTATTACCTTGTATTGGGTGAATTTTAATATTTAAAATGGTGACATCTCTGGTCCGATTCTGCTGTGTGCTCTTTTCATCAGAATACGAATGATGAGTTTTGTCACGTGGCTCATTAGACTGACTGTTCGGTGGAACTCACATTCGTTTGCGCCTAGTTTCTTAGGTAGCCCTATGAAAATAGATCTACTGAGATCCTCCGGTACGTCCCGCACTGTTGTAGATTTTATTAATTATTTCTATGTTCTTGTCTATACCAAATTCATCTAAGGCTGTCAGTATTTCCGTTACGATTACGTCTGGCCCTTCCGCCTTGTTTCCGTTCAATTTGGCCAGTGCAGCTCTTACTTCGGTTTATAGAATTTCGGGTCTGTCGGTAGTTCTGTGTATTGCTGGTTGTCCTATTTCGTCGTGGAAGAGTTCTCTAATATACTTGCCCCAGAGTTGAAGAATTTTTTCCTTCTCTAATATGAGTTTTCAGGCCTTTGATTTTAAGCAGCTTGTTGAGGAGCATGTCTTCTATCCTGTTAATTGACTTATTTGTTTTGTGCGTATCTCCTTTGTTGATGGTACTCATTCTATCATTCTACACATTTTTTGTTTAGCCACTCTTCTTTAGGTTGTACTTATTTGTTCCTTATTTCTTTGTGTATTTTTCTGTATTCTGTTCCGTATCTTGGCAGAGATTTCCGTCTCCTTTGCATCATGTCGAGAATAACCTCTGTCATCCATTCGTTTTTTTTTTCTTTTTGTTCTGTACTCTTTTGAGATGACCTTGTTTGCTGACGTCACTAATGCGTCTCTTAGTGATTCCCATTTCGAGTTTCCATTGTCTCCCTCGTACATTCTCTTAACATATTCCATATATTTTTCTTTCAGGTTCAGGTCGCTCAAGAGTGTGTTGTACTGCAGCTTGGGTACTGCGTTAGGCTTCTTCTGTTTCCGTAGTCTCACTCTTAGCTTGCATATAACAGGGCAATGACTGCTCCCGCAGTCGGCACTTAGGTAGGTTTTGCAGTGAACGATTGCATTCCTGAATCTTTTGTTGATAGTTATGTAGTCTATTTGGTTATTGGTGTCTCCTCCTGGACTTCACCATGTCTATAATCGTCTCGGAGGATCTTGGAGCCATGTGTTGGCTATTACTTGGTTACTGTCCGTGCACCATATTTCTCCGAGTTCGTTGCGGGTACCTAGTCCGAATTTTCTGGCTATATCCCCTGCCCTCTCGCTGCCTACTTTGGCATTTAGGTCTCCCATGATAATGATGAATTCATGTCTTTCTTTCCAAAATAAGACGTAAATGAATGCAATGAACTCGACTGGAATTCAAACTCAGCTCTCCACGCCGCTATTCCATGACCCCACCGAGCCTACTATCAATATTATTTAACTCTCCTTATTGTAATAGTCTCTCTGGGCGATTGGGTATCGATCTTTTATTGATTGTCCTCGGAAATAGTGTTTGTCTACTCATACCGAGGATCAACCGATAGCAATTCCTTTCACATACTGGAGGGTTCCGATTCACACACGGATTCTCAGTTCTTTCAGCCATTTTCCTAAACGTTTCGTACCATTCCGGGTGCATCAAAAGTGATAGGCACAATTGTCACTTTTCTACACTATTTGCATTATTCGGACTATTGTCCTCATCTTTCTCGCCATATGTATTACAACGTTTCGGCCGTTGTACGCACCGGTCTTCATCAGGTGGTTGGAATGTGGAATGTCAAGGACACATGGTACAGTGGGTAAAGGCGTTGGTTAGATCCAGTGAGAGGACCCAAAGAGTGTGAGTTCAATACCCGGTTAAGGCAGTGGAGAACTTGGAGAGGGGAATTAACAAGAGATAACTGATAACTTAAAATTAAACATGGCACGTGGAACTAGAACAGTCTACCTCAGTGAGCGAAATAAAGGGTTACGTTCGACATTCCAACCCCCAGAAGAAGGCCGGAGCGTACAGCGGCCGAAACGTTGTAATAAATATGGCAACAAAGATGGGGACAATAGTCCGAATAATGTAAATAGTGTACATAATACTTCATCTCTGAAAGATAGACTGTCACTTTTCTGTCTCATAACTTGTCCCACTTCTCTAAATATTTTCTTGTATTCTATTCTGCTCTTTACTCATTGTCTACACCAGTAATTAAATGTAATCAATTCTCCTCAACCTTCCCAGGATGTTAACAGGTATTTCTGTGTACCGTGTCCCTTAAGGACGTTTATTATCATGACTCTTCACAGCCTCCTATCCGCTGTAGCTCTAAGTAAACGGTATCAGATTATTATCTCTCCTGAAATCCATTCACACACACTCTCTGTTTACTCCTGTGCCTCTTGAAATTCTTCAATTTTTCCTGTGAGGGTCAAATTCGCCAAGCCTTTGTCAAGTTTCTCATTTTGATTGTCTTTACTTTTTTTCTTGAAAACTTCCTTGTTGATTATATATTCTGTTCATGCTCTTCTCCGCAGCCTATAACTGTTGGCTCTTTACTTGTGAGGAAATTGATCAGCGTTGACTTATGTTCATATCACCTTGATAAACCGGTCCCCGTACGATCAATGACATTAAGCAAGGTCGAGCCTGGTCAGTAGCTAAATGGGTGACCGCTTGGGAATACCAGGTGCCGTAAGCTTGGATGTACGGCAGTTGCACTGGATAATGGCTCGGAATTATTAATAATGGAGCCGAGTTCCCGTTCCCGCTGCGTTCGATATATTCATTTACTCGCAAATATCTTTGGGAAAGGTAAGACTCCGCCTAGCTTCCCTCCATCTGCGGGTTAATTTACTAATTAACCCACATCTGGAGGGAGATGAGGCGGATGTCTTCCGTTCCTTATACAGTGGAACCACAGTTCACGAATTTAATTCGTTCCTGAAGCCCGTTCGTAACTCGAAATCTTCGTAAACCGAATATATTTTTCCGATTGGTATTAATGTAAAATGGATTAATCCGTTTCTGGTCCGAAGATGATTGCTTATTTAAACTTTAACAACAGTACTTTAGACACAAGTTTATACACAAAATTAATGAAAATCATATAATACGTAAAACAAATGAAAATCATTAAAACTAAGAAAAACAATAAACCCAAAACTAAACAGATAAAATATAAACGAACAATTTTACCTACCTGCATGTGGAAGAGTTGATGGCGTAAGTGGAAAGGGAAGGAAAGACCTGATCGTCTCTTTATTTATAAGAATAGTATAGATCGTTGATTTTGCCATATGAAACTGAGTAGAAAGAGAAAATATCATCATCATAGAGACAATATCATCAACAATTGTTTTTCTCTTTTCTTTTTCCTTTACCAATATCACTGCTAGCTTTCTTTAGAGTCATAACTGAGGACTAATGAAGAGAAAAAAAGGTATAGTACAATAAAATTGGAAAAGAAAAGCACAGCACAACACACGGATGTATACAACATGGCGGTCAACGAAGGAGTGATTCCGTTCGGGTTAACTCGGTTCGTCTCGGTGGTCTCGGATCGGCTCGGTTCGTTTCGGTTCGGCTCGGATCGGCTCGGTTCGGCAATGTTGTTCGAGAACGGAAATTTTGTTTGATCACCGAGGCATTTTCATCTTGAATTTTCTGTTCGAAAACCGATTTGTTCGATATGGGAGACGTTCGAGAACCGAGGTTGCACTGTATCAACAAATAATTATTATCTCAAAATATTTTCTGGCTTTAAATATGCTGCAAAGAGTTGTAAAAAACGAACCAATCAGTCAATAGTCCAGCTTCACTGTCATAGACAATCATTGATAATATTCCAGCCGTCTTTTTTTTTCCAAAGAAAATTTTCCTGTTTCTTAATATTTTATTTTACTTTTTAGAGTCACCATTCGCTTTTCCAAGAATTCTTTGGATTTCTATGTCATTTGTTCTGTTTTTTTGCTAAAACAATTCTAATATAGGTAATTGTGTGGACGTGTTTTTTCTATTGTTTTTTCTTTGTTTAGTTATGTTCTTAAACAGCGAAGAATTGAACCTACCGGCCTGTGCACTCCAGAATCTTAATACCGAAAATATATCCTTCTTCAGAGTTCGAATCTGTGTCCCCACATTTATAGGAGAAATCACATTCTTATCCGGCATGCCCTAGACCGCTCGGTCATGGAGAGTTTTATTTTCTTTCACTCTCGATGTCCCTCTCCGTCTTTCTCTCCTTCCTACTTTCTATTTCAATCCATTCTCTTTATGTTCCTCACCTTTCCTCTTTCTATCTCTCCTCCCTCCCATTCTATTTCTATGTCTTTCACTCCCTCCTACTTTCTATTTCAATCCATTCTCTTTCTGTTCCTCACCTTTCCTCTTTCTATCTCTCCTCCCTCCCATTCTATTTCTATGTCTTTCACTCCCTCCTACTTTCTATTTCAATCCATTCTCTTTCTGTTCCTCACCTTTCCTCTTTCTATCCCTCCTCCCTCCCATTCTATTTCTATGTCTTTCTCTCCCTCCTATTTCTCTCTATTATCTTAACGCTCTCTATTTCCAGCTATATTTCTATTTCTCTCTCCAAATTTTTTACATTCGTTCTCTCTTTGTTCTCTCCCCACCTACCTCCCACATTTCATCCTTCACCCCCCCCTTCTCTACACATACAAATATTTTTACTTGTTTGACATTGTCTCTTCAGATGACACTAAGTGGAAAGGCAGATGACCTGTAGACCTTACTGAATCTTTACATATAAATGACTTGACTGTCACGTCGATAAGACGATTACAGTAGTTTGGGTTTACTTATTTTCACTTTGTATTAAATGACTTTTAAAAGCTTATCAGGTAAGTGTATTTCGGATTTATTTTAACTGTTTTACGACAGATTCGCTTTATTTGTTTCAAACCAAGTTTCATGTTTCTTTGGAAAAACGTTTAATTCGCGCCGACAAATTGTTGATACGAAACAACGGATAAAATATTTATTCCATCTTTTCTTTGTCATGTGTTGGCTATTTTTACTCATTACATTTATTTCTTTTTGGTTAATTTACTATTTCTAAGGTTAGTGGATTTAAAGCCATTGACGACATTTCTATGTCATTCAATATCGACATCAGTTTGACTCGGAATGAAAAGTCAGAGAGCAGAGTTTGAATTTCAGTCGAATTCATTACATTAGCTTAGGTGCAAATACACTTGGATAAGTAACGTATCCATCACTTCCTCAACTATGGGTTAAATATTAGGACTTATATCTGGAAAAATCATTGTTACTCTCAAAAGAAATTGTTAATGAAATATTCACTCACAAAAAAGGTTTTATTCTTTTTTTTTATTTCACCCTAAGTAAGGCAATGAAGCCACTAAGCCGCACAGAGTTACTGAGTGTTAAATCATATGATAAAGAAAAACACTTTTAAAGAAAAGAGAGAGAATAATAAAACAAGAGGAATTAAGAAGGTTGAAGTTAATAGTTGGCATTACACTTAAATCTTTGAAGATCTTACTATTCAAATGTATGTTTCGGCTTTAAATAAGCCACGAAGGGTTGATAAACAGTAAAAATTGAAATCGATCCGTCTTTTTAATTTATTAGTTTTTACTTTTTTTTTTTCATTTTACTTTCGGGATTACCTTCAATTGATCTGCCAAGTCGCCGTTAGTTGGCAGAGTTTAAGGACCTCAAAAGAAAGAACGTGATCTTTCTATCTGTCTTTCTTCCTTTCAAGCTAGCACGCGATAGGTAAAAGATTTGTCAAATCTTCCCTTTTAGTGAAATTTAGTCATCCAGTTACTTAGTGCATTTGCATGTACGAACTCAAACACAGACACACACACACACACACAGACACACACAAATATTTTAATGTTTATCTTTCCTTACATTTTCAGCTGTGTATTTTCATTCTTTTTGTTAGCCAGGCAAAAATCTCAATAATAAATATCAGCTTCAGTCACAAATAATTTCCGTTATAATAAAGTTTAGTTATATTTTTCAATTATATATTCACCATTATTTACAATGACGTGTTGCCACTTATCAGAAGGTTCTTCTTTTGAATAAAATCCCTCATCTTTTCATGTGAAAAAGATTTTGATCGTTACAGTAATGGGGGTCGAATGTTAAAAATCTTCCCCGCCTAAATTTATATACAAATGCTAACTATGCGTGCTGGCATTTCTTCACAAGCAATAAAAAATTGACAATTCTGTTTTACGCGACATTTTTGTTCTGTCTTGCCTTGAAATCAGAACGAATCGGCTATTTTGCCGGTGCCGGTAAAATAGTCACGAAAAATAATTTACCGGTAAATATAGAGTTTTAGAACTTAGAATATATTATATTTGGGATCGTCAGAGCAGTGGTTGAGTGGGCCGTGTAGGCAGGACTTGAACAACATAGAATGTGTGGTCTGTGACTGTGTACGCCTGAAGTGTATTGGCAAAGGAACCAAGCTTGGATTTGCAGAGATTGTTATGCCTGAAGTGCTTAAAATATTCAAAGACTTCTTATGTTTCTTTAAAAACTGGTGATGAATAAATGATTTTAAATTTTCCTTTAACAGTTGATGGTGGAAAAGAGTTTTAATTGTCTTACAATTGATGGGGGGAAGTAAATGAACTTGCGTGTTAAATCTGTGTGTTGTTACTTTTAACATTATCTGCTTTCGTAATAATAAAGTATATTTGCATGCACATATTTAAACAAACACACATATTACCTCATAGCTAAGTTTTAATGTTTATTTTTCCTTGTATTTTCAGCTGTGTATGCTGTAGTCGATTTTCCTTCTTTTTGTTATCCATTTATTAGTTTTATAATAATACATACGTGTTTAAAATTCCTTTTTTTTCCCAATCGTTCCACAATCATTCCATTTTCCTTTTTCTCTGCGAATTTAAATGTGTTAACTTTAGTTGTGACTGCATTTGGTTGAACCCAAATCAGTAATCAGGACATTCTTCCACCAAGACAAAAACCTCAATCAGAATGGCTGATGCCCAACTCCACGAGAGCGTCTCTCTGCGCCCTCTTGGTCTCACGTTTTCCAGCGAACTGAGATGGAACAACTACATTGAATCAATAGCTTCATCTACTGCAAGGAAAGTGCGTCGCGCCAGGATTTTTCTCTCCTGAGTCCATTCTTCAAATATACAAATCTTCCATTTATCATTGCATGAAATACTGTTGCCATGTATGGTCTAGTACCTCCACTGTTCATTTCGAGGTTCTTGAGAAAATCGAAAGACGGATATGCAATGTGATTGGTCCTGACCTGGCATCTCGATTTCAGTCACTTTCTCACAGACGTGATATGGCTTCATCTACCGCAAGGAAAGTTTGTTCTCTGTGTCGCCTGAGGTTTTTCTCTCCTGAGTCCATCCTTCAAATCTACAAATCTACCATTCGATCTTGCATGGATTACCGTTGCCATATATGGTCTAGTGCCCCCACTGTTCATTTCGAGGTTCTTGAGAAAATCCAGAGACGGATATGCAATGTGATAGGTCCTGATCTGGCATCTCGTCTACAGTCACTTCCTCACAGACGTGCCGTCGTTTCTCTTTATCTTTTCTAGAAATATTTTCATGGCAACTTCTCTGACGAGCTATTTTCATTGGTACCCCGACTGCATGAATTTAAGCGTGCTATCAGGTTGGCATCTCGGTCCCACCCTTTCGCTGTCAAAACAGTTAAATTTAACCGCCTCTTCTACTCCAAAAGCTTCATCTGTCGCACTTCCCGACATTGGAACTCCCTTCCTCTTACTTGCTTCCCTGATGGCTATAATCTTTAAATATTCAAATGTAATGTCAATCGACATCTTCTGATACCTTGATCCTGATCCCCGTCCTTCTCTCTATCCTTTTAAAAGTAGTGATAAATTTAATTCGCCTTTTCTCAAAAGATACATTCCGCTAAAAAAGCATATAGTGTACGGCATAAATTATTTAAAATGGACATTTGAATTCAATACGTTGAAATAAAAATGTACTCGTTATAAAATTAAAGCAAAAAATAAATTGCCTATTAAGTATGTCTCCAGCTTCTATCAGGCTCAGACATACTCAGCCCGACTAGCCACGTTAATTTTTTTAATTATATTTTTACTTACTTTCTTTCTTTTTTTCTTCTTTCTTATTTATTATTATGAAAAATATCAACTAAATGTATTTTGGTTAATATTTTGAGGCACGGAGACAATTAATGTTGGATCCAGCTCAAGTCAGTAATGAAAACAATGCTCTACAAAAGTTTTTGCTGCTTTGAAATATATGTAGTTGCATGTTGACTTACTCGGGCTAAACCTGACACGGAATTACCACTGATATATATATATATATATATATATATATATATATATATATATATATATATATAAAGCGGGCGAGGTTATAGTAGTCCCAACGAGAGAGATGTGTATATTAAAAAGAAGAGAAACCGCAAACGTATTTGGTTGTAATGTGAATTTTTTTAAAAAAATATTATGCTTTATTTTCTATAATTTTGCTACACGGGTTTCCGGTCTCGCGACCTTCAGCAGGCAAACGTGGAGATTTCCACATATTATTAAAAATAATATCGAGAATATTTAACATCGATAAACATAAGAAAAAAATTTTTTTTTTTTTTTTGATATGTGGAAATCTCAACGCTTTGCCTGGTGAAGGTCGCGAGACCGTAAACACGTGTAGCAAAATTATGGAAAATAAATCATTTTTTTTAAACACTCATTACAAACCAAAAACGTTTATCGTTTCTCTCTTCTTTTTAATATATATATATATATATATATATATATATATATATATATATATATATATATATATATATGTGTGTGTTTGTGTCGAGAGAGAGAGAGAGAGATTGAGGGAGATAGATGTAAAAACTGTGATAGATACGAACAGGAAGTGCTAGATAGATGCAAACAGGTAGTGATAAATAAATAAATAGATAGATAGATAGATAGATAGATAGATAGATAGATAGATAGATAGATAGATAGATATCTGTCTATATTTCTGAGATGAGATATTATGTACACTATTTACATTATTCGGACTATTGTCCTCATCTTTTTCGCCATATTTATCACAACGTTTCGGCCGATGTACGCTCCGGCCTTCTACAGGTGGTTGGAATATCGAACTGAACCCTTTATTTCGCTCACTGGGGTAGACTGTTCTAGTTCCACGTGCCATGTCTAATGGATGTCAGTTATCTCCTGTTAATTCCCCTCTGAAAGTTCTCCACTGCCTTAACCAGGTACTGAACTCACACTCTTTGGGTCCGGTCACTGGAACAGTCTACCCCAGTGAGCGAAATAAAGGGTTCAGTTCGACATTCCAACCACCTGAAGAAGGCCGGAGTGTCGTAATAAATATGGCGAAAAAGATGAAGACAATAGTCCGAATAATGTAAATAGATAGATAGATAGATAGATAGATAGATAGATAGATAGATAGATAGATAGATATTGAAGCAATTATTATTAATTAACGGAAGTTCCTATTTAAAAGTTCATGTAAACAGCACTGTGTTTTTATTCTATGCACTTCCTGTGCATCATATTCTAATGCATTTAGTTTAAAGATAACAAATATTGTGAAAAGGAGCAGTCAAATGCTGAGATCTTCTGAAGAGATGACCGAATAAAAGAAATATATCAATGTACGAAACTATAAGAATCAATCAACTAAGTGACCTTTTTATTTGTATTAATCATATATTTACAGTGTTTAATATAGATATTTTTATAATCCTTTGTACATATTTGTTTATCTTCAAGTCATGGTATTCAATGATTTTTCTGTTATTTTCTTTCTTTTTTCTTTTTTTTTTAAATAATTGTTGTTTCGCAAGTGTAATTTATTAAGACTATCTCGCAAGAGTTAATATATATTAAGAACACTTAACGTATTGTATTTGTTAAATTAATTATACAGAAGCATGAATGACTCTAATCTATTTATATTTAAGTGGAACATTCATTTCACTGTTGTTGTTTTTACGAACGTGGTCGTAATTTTCGAAATTAAAAGAAAGAATTTTTGTAATGCTTATTTTGTCTTTCTTTGATTAATGACTCATTATGGCCGATTTCTTTATGTATTTTTATTTATATTCAAAGATTCTTTTAACATGATTTGGTATTAATTTTATTCTTTTACATTTTCTTACTTATTAATTGTAATGCAACGTAATTTCAATTTTGTTGAAAAAGTGTTACCAGTTATAACGTTGTTTTGTTTCGTATACTAATCGTCAATTTGTTTTATTATTTAGCTTTCAACTATTTTAAAAACAACAACAGCAATAATAATAATAATAATAATAATAAAATATTCTCATAAATTTGATAATAATTTTATGCGTTTTTATAATTATATCAAAAATATAGCAATACATTGTCACATTTGACGGACTGTTTACTCCGACATCCAATGTAAAATATATATATGATTTAGACGGCAGTGTAGGGGGTAGTGGATAGAAGTAGTCCCTTTGTTACTCGGCTGTTGCAACTTATTATTAAGATGGACGGGCAACACTGGTCTTCACCCATCCCCTAAATCTCCACGCGTCACATCCTCTAAACCGCTTCAGCAGGCGTGCTAAATCTCGTGAAATTACCATTGAAATGGGGCTGCACTCTTCTGTGTACTGGTATAACTCTGTGATAATAAAACCTGAGGAGTGTTGTTCATTGTGTTTGTGGCAAATTTTTGCACCAACTCCTTGATATCAGCACTTCCAATAAGTGTGGCTAGTTCTATATAAGCCTTCATCACTTTAAATAATTTTTTGTGTGGATAGTCTGCAGTTCAGTTCTGTGTTCCTTCTTTGCTATTCCACCTGAGCAACAAGTCCACTGGCGAGAGAGTTAAGGCGACGGGTGTTGGAATTTTTGGGTACCCTGGTGTACTAGTGAGTCAGCCAAAATGAGTCATTTTATTGTTCACCAATAGAAGCGTTAACCAATCTGAAGGCTCAAAATAGTCAATGCGACGCGTATAAAGGCGTCCATGTTTTTCCCGAATATTCACTGCCAGCCTTTGATATCAAAGACTGAAGAATTACGGAACAGCTGCTGGTGGTATTGGTGATATAGTTAGATTCAGCAGAGTGTTTGACTCGTGAGTGTTAATCCTTAAAGTTGTTTCATTGAACAGATTACGTACTGCACTGTATTCTATATTCATAGACTATGGTGAACATGGTCCACAATGGGGACAGGTGCAGGTACAGTTAGCTGACACTCATGCAGTGGCGACAATCGTGTGATGGTCGTTCTTGCACAAAATCCATAGCAAATGTGCTGTTCGTGTCCTCCGATGGTGACAAAACAGGTCAATTTAGACATAGCACTGCTTTCCCTAATCCGGGGAGGGGACTAGAAAAGGTGTCCTAAATATTGCTTGCTCTTAATGAACTTGACAACCCGCTTCAGTTGTGTAGTGTTCCAATAACGCAGTCGCAATAATCGATTTAGTAGAAATAAATCGCGTAATGTGTTAACCTCGGCTCTTGGAATGTAAGAACTCTCCAAGACAACGATTCTTCTTCAGAGCGTAAAACAGCCCTCATTGCTCATGCGTTAAGCAAGCACAATATCGACATTGCTGCTTTCAGTGAGACTCGTTTTGCAGGAAACTCTCAGCTTGAAGAAGTTAGTGAAGGATATACCCTTTTCTGGATTGACGATCTTCGCCTATCAGGTGGAGGTTTTGCCATAAAATCGGAAATTGCTAACTCCCTCTCATCACTTCCGAAAAAAATACTCGATCGCATTATGAATCTAGTCTTAGACCTCGAAAACAATTCTTCTGCCACTCTTGTGAACTGTTATGCCCCAATCATGAACACCCCAGCGTCGGGAATTGATGAATTTTATGATCCACTGCATTCAGTGCTTTCCAAAGTTCCACGTAGAGACAAACTTGTCTTTATGGGAGACTTTAATGCATAGGCTGGTGGTGACCATCACACATGGCCTGGAGTATGAATACGACTTTTTTCTCTCTTCAAAGAATTCGATCACACACATGTTATCAGCGGTTTAATCATCATAAAAAGGAGTTGGATGTATCCCAGATCCAAAGATTGGTGTATGATTGATTATATTACCACCAAGAAACGTGACGCGAAAGATTTCAATATTAGCCGCTCTTTCCACAACACTTGCTATCTTTCAGACCATGCTCTACTATGCAGCATAGTATCCTTTCGACTCGTACACAAGAACCCTCTCGTTAGCACTATGGTTCCTAAACGAGTCAACATGTCACCTCTGATTTTAAGAGGAAAGAACACTCTGACACACTGGATTCGAGGGTTGATTCAGTTGTGATCTCAGAAGACAGTGAATCCTCCAGGAAATCGCTCAGAGCTGCCGTTTAATCCAGCTCCCTTGAAAGAAAATATGAGGATAGTTTCTGATGTAAATGATGCTCACTTTCAACGTCTCATCGAGAAAATGCACGATTCGCACAAAATGTTCATAAACAACAAAAATTGTCCATCAAAAAAGTGCATATATAAACAGTGTAAGCGGGATTTGCCAAACACTCTCAGAAAAATGAAAGATTCCTGGTGGTCTGCTATGGCTGTGGAACAGGCTGGCAAAAAAAGATTCCAAAATATTCTAAGAAGGACTTAAAAAGGTGTACGGCCCACAAGGAAATGGAATTTCACCTGTTCTGTCGCTTGGCGGCAACACCACCTCACAGATAAAAAGTAAATTATATCACAATGGAAAGAACACTTTGAAAGTATCCTTAACTCCACCTCTGCCATCGATAAGAACGCCATTTCTTTAATTCACCAGCAACCAGAAATTTCCCAGCTGTCTCTTGAGCCATGCCTAAAGGAAATCCAAGATTCTATCATGCAAGACCCTCGAACAAAACCCCTGGAAAAGATGCTATTCCCTAGGAACTTTTTAAAAATATGGTGGGAAGATGCTGGTTAAGAAACTTCTGAAGCTTTTTAAAGTCATATGAAAGATTGGTTCTGTTCCACTTGACTACAAAGATGCTTTCATAAGACATCTCTTCAAGAACAAAGGCAAAAAGGTTGTAGGGGATAATTCCAGTAGTATTTCATTTCTAAGTATTGCAGACGAAATTTTCTCAACAGAATAATCAAAGATCACATTGATGACATCTATCCTGAATCTCAGTGTAGTTTTCTTTCAGATCTTGGAACAATTGATAATTTTGAACTTCGTCAGGTTGCTGAGAAAGTTCGCGAGAAGAATGACCAAAGCGTTTGACATTGTAAACAGGGTTGCCATCTGGAAAGTACTCAAAAAGTTTGGCATACCTGAAATTATTCTGAATGTCATCATCTCGTTTCACGAAGGAATGAAAGCTTCTGTTCATATCTAATGGAAAGTAGCTTTCGATGTAACAAATGACACAAAACAAGGTTATGTCATGGCTCCTGTAATTTTCACCACACTGTTTAGCCCTGAAGATCCCGAAGGTTAAACCTTGAAGGGTACTTCCTGGATCACTAGGATTTTTTTATACTTTGTTCTACATAGTGTATTGAGGACTTTTACATTTTTATATTATTTTACTCGATTGTTTCTTGGGATTTTTGGGGTTTTTTTTGGTTTTTTGGGGGGCTAGGCAGTATTGGGTGACTTCTTTTTGATCCGACACGGATGTTTTTAGTGTTTTCATTCTTCTGAATTTTTTCCCTGATACCAGTTTAAATATATTTTTCTTTGCAAATTGAACTATCCGGATTTTTTTTTTTCACCATCGGATATAGGTATTAATATATATATATATATATATATATATATATATATATATATATATATATATATATATATATATATTCAGTTGTATGGATATGAGGTCTATCAATGTTATTGAGCACTTTCCAATAAATACCGCATACAACATATATATATATATATGTGTGTGTGTGTGTGTGTGTGTGTGTGTGTGTGTGTGTGTGTGGTATGTATGAGCTTATCAATGATATTGATACTTTATAATAAATATCAATGATATATATATATATATATATATATATATATATATATATATATATATATATATATATATATCTATCTGTTGGAGTGCGTTTATGCATGCACTTGGATGTACGTAAACACGTTCATGGTTCAAAAGATCTGCAATGTTACACGTTTTACCTGGAATTTTCTTTTGTATAATGCTGGAGGTATGGTATTAAAAGAGAAACATTTAGTGCATGGACAAAGAAGGAAATTACTTGAAAAATATTTGTTGTATAAAGTAAATACATTTTTGCTACACACTTATTACGTGAATGCGTTCTCTGTGTGTGTGTATGTGTCTGTGTGTGTGTGTGTAATGTACCATCTACTTCGGATCGAGGCACGGTATGTATATTTGAAACATGAAAAACTTAATTTGCAATTGATTCCAATATTTTATTTTTGGGACCCGATTAGCTTCTTGACTCACTTGGGCCTTATCTCTATTTTCGTTTCTCTTCCTATTCAAACT